TAACACTACTAGAGCATTTCCGGTCGCTTTCATGGCGATTTTCTTATATAGTGCCAGACAAAAAAGATAACTTAAAATTTCGAAAAATAAACTTGGCAAACGCGAAATTACGGTACTCTAAACGTTTTGTCGGAGGAGTCTTCGATTTTTCCCGGATCCGGGGCAAGTACAGGTAACCCCCGTATAACACGGTAGTTACGTTCCAAAAAATTGCCGTGTTATGCGAATCCGTGTTATACAAAACAAAGAACTAGTGCGTAAAGGGGGTTAGGTTCCAAAATTAAAAAAACATGCTGTTAAATCCTTATTTAAATCGGATTTATTATTCTTTTTTTTTCATAGGTAAAATACTTATTTATTATTTAAGTAAATATTTAACTAAAGGATTATTTATCCTATATGATGATCTCAGCATGAGCATCATCCACTGGTAACAGTTTTTGGGTGCGTTCATTAATAGTGGTCGCTCTGCAATGGGAGTGCGCTGCTGTTTGTAGGCATTTAGGAACGATGATGAAAGAAAGATGGCGGCGCCCACACTATCGATAGTATCGTGATGGAGGAATCTATAATTCTAAAATGAGCTTTTAGAGGCAAAAGAAGGGTCCCAATTGTAAAATTTAACCATTAAATGGATTATTTGTTGAAAGAACATTCAAAGTAGCCACGAAAACAATTCGAATGCTCGCGTAGAGTTACGCGGATGTATAAAAGAACGCATCCTTTATTACATATCATGTTGTACGAGGGTTTTACCCAATCCCCGAACCGTGTTAGAGTGAACCTGTGCTATAAAAGCACTGTGTTATACGGGGATGTTCCCAATTCTCGAACCGTGTTAGAATGAATCGGTGCTGTAGAAGTGCCGTGTTATACGGGGGGTTACCTGTATATCAGCCATTAACAAGTTTAGGCCACAAACGTAGATACGAGCTAGAATATACTACATAGAGAGGCTGTGACCATGGTTACAACGCTGTTGGTGACAATTACGGGTACTATAAACGAGTTAGAATATTCTAGCTCGTTGCCTTTACACAACACAAATACCACGCTTCTTGACTAAAATAAAAATGGCGGATGTGTATTGAATTTTCCTGAAACATGGCATCTCTTCAGTCACTCAATGTAGTATATTCTAGCTCGTTGCAGAATACTTTATATATATAATTTTCAGACAATTTCAACGCGCAATTTATTTCGTATTGTTTATAAGCGCGAGGAAACCACCTGTGACGTAACTTTACGTAATTTATTATCATTTTAGGGCATGTAATTTATGCAAAATTGTTAAATTTTTAATAATAAGTTTTCTTAGATAAACCATATAATATTTTATTAATGCTTCTATTATATTTCATGCAATAAATTTAAAACACAAAAAGATATAATATTGATAAATTTTGACGTCATCGGAAAATGCTGTTTCGCTAAATCAATAGTGCACTCTCTATTCTTAAATTTACATAAATAATTTGGAGATTTTCGCAATAAAATCATCCAATTACTGAAATAATTTATTTGTATCACTTATTCACTCTGGACATTTGATTTTAATATGTAATTATCAGCACTTAAGTATCATTTATATTAGTATTGAATGGATTTATTATGCTATTTAGAACTATAAAATTTATTCGTTTGTTAATGTTTGTTTACATCGAGGTTAAATGGTTACTTAGCGACTGTTTGATCGACTGTTACAAACAAGAGAACGTACCAAGGAAGGTCAATGTAAAATTTCTTAATATCATATACAAAAGAATATTTTATTATTTGTGCATTCTTCTATATTGTCTGAAATTTTTGACATTCCCTTTTGCTGTTTTGTGTCTTCAAGGTGAAATTAATAAGAAATATTTTTATAATTTATATAACATTTCATGCATTCAAAACTACACTAGAACTCTAACAGTGTTATATGCGAATCCTTGTCGATATCAGTTGTTTTATGAAAAACTGAGTTGATTTAATAATTGAAGGCATTTAAAAAGTCTTGGACTGATGAAAATTTGCAATAATTTCGTAATAATATTCTCTTTGTTGTGATAGACGTATTCAATTGTATTTAATATACTTCCTATTGTGATGAATATGTATGGACAAAACCTTGCGTGCTGTAAAAATATTTACGCGATGTGACCTTACAAAAAAAAACGTTATGAATATTGATTGTTTTTCATTGTCTGGAACAATTTTTTCCTTTATTGCTGCAATTATTGTAAGGAAGTAAAGTAAAAATAAGGCGAACTAAAGTCCTCGCGTCATTTTCTCGAAAATATTTTTGGAAGAACACCCGAGAAAATATTTTGTTTCCTTAACTTAATGAATGTCTTATGAACAGTATTTGTGACGTGATCAGTTTAATGTTTATTTGTAAAACGTGACTTCATCGATTCTTGGTTTACCAATCAGAATTAATGTATATAATATTCTATTTTTAAATATTTTATGAGAAATTTTATTTCTCATAAAATAGCGAGTTCTTCTCACTCAAAATTATTGAAGAATTTTTGTATATAAAAATCTATTTGTCAACTATATTAGATATAATGAAGAACGATTGCTTAATCTTAAAATAAGATAAATCTATAAGGTAAGTCAAATCTTTCATGTATTATGTGCTTACAAAGGACGATATTTAAAAATTAAGGATTGAAAATTATTGTTAAAGATAATCTTAATCGATAAGATATTGACTCTTTATAGAATCCGTTCTTGTAGATACTAAGGGATCTTTTTCTTCCGTGCATACCATGAATTATTTCGTCTCTTATCGTACTGTTCAAACTAATGCCTTTTTTTCTAGGCCTATCTAAGGTTCAGCCAGGCCCACAACGGGACGGTCTGGCGGTGAGGGACAGCGCTCGATATACCTGAGATAGACCGCCCATGAAAAATTCTTGGGGTTTTTCACTCGGTTTTTGATCCTGATCTCTTATAGCTATAGGTATATCTTAATAATTAACAGATTTCTTATTGTAGGTCTGGTCGAACCCACGATAGACATGGAACTAATAGGGTCAACTTGTCGTTCTGGGGAGATAAACAATAACTTTACTAAACACTTTAGAGATTATATGTCGTTAAACTGATTAAATGCTAATGATTTAAATGCTTTCCATTATGGATATGGCAAATATTCTCTTAAAAAAAAGTCTTTTCATGCATATTGTAGGTATTTTCAGGCCTACAATGGGTCGTTTTGGCCAGGGATCGGTCCCACATGTATGAGCTAACCCGCTCAGTAAAACTTTTGTCTTACCTGTGACAGAGTGAACACTTGAACACTGATAACTGGTTTGTTTTACATTTAAGTAATCTAATAAATGAATTAATTTTATAACCTTGAACATTAAATTAATTTATATTCTTTAATTTAATAATTTTTTTGAAAACTTTTAAACAAAATAAAGAAAATTTTATATAAAGCTGTATCATTCTTTAATTATTTTTCTCTCGTTTTAAATTTACATTCTTGAGAACGAATTAAAACAAAATGACCTTAGCATAACATTTAAAAATATTACATACAATTGCAATTTTTTTATTACTGTTTTCAATACAAAAAATTATATAATAAACTGTTTTTTGTAAATCAATTTTTCCTTCTGAAGATAAAAAAATATAAGAAGAAAACTTGGTTTACGTTTAATTAAAATTTACGTACGAGGTTTACTAATACAACATTATTCGTTGATATTAGTTCAGCTGCATTGATTTTTATTTACCAATGATAATTTCTATATATAATTCCATATTTAATAAGCACAGTTTCATATTTTAAATATGCCTGAAGAATTTCTGCATTTGAAATCTATTAAATCTAAATCAATTTCAAGATTAACCTGTAAAACGATGATTAAAAAGTAAGGTAAATTTATCTTTTATGCTTAATAAAAATAGCTTAATATTTTAAATATTAAACTATTTAATACTTTATTCTCAAGAATAATTAATTTACTATGTTTCTATCTCTGCAATATCACATTCAAATACTCTATCTAGTCTTACCAATATCTTTAGAAGAGAGAATTTGTTTTTCTTTTATTAACTTTCTTTAGCCATATTTTCTTTGAACTTATTAAATAATAACCTATAAATTAACAAGAAGAATGTTTATACAAGATGGATAGTCTTTTTAAGTATGGGTGTCAAGAGTTGCCTGCCTTGGTTCATGCTATGAATACATTGGCATTATACTGTAATACTGAATAGAACCTATTCAAGGGCTTAGGCTGAAGAAAGGAAGAGAGTAGGAAGTAAGGAAAGGGGATAAGAAAGAGGAGAGACGGTCACAATAGGATACTGAGCAGATAGGGATACGATGGATGTAGTATCACTCTAGGGTTCTGGGAGATTCTGGAGCTAATTCGAATTTTTCATGGGTAGTTTGTCGCAGATTTGTCGAACTCATCTCTTTTCAGAAGCATTAGATAATATTAAATGCAATATTTTAATCAATTTATTTATTACTGTATTATTGTTATTATTATTATTAAATTTAACATACTGTATATCCATGTTAAATTAAAATTTATATTTTATTGGAAAAATTCTCTAAAGAATTTTCGAATAAAATGTTATTTGCTCTATTATGTTTATTCGGGTGAATTTAGTTAATTAATATAATTTATTTAAAAAATTATTATTATTATAAATTGGAAAATTTTTCCTAATAATTAGAAAGATGGAAAAATTATATTATTATGTTGAACATTTAAATTATTAGAGGAGAAGATGGTATTATGGAACCCCATTTTCATTATAGTGAATTGTAAACAAGATATCATAAGTACACCCACATTTTTTGTGCGAAAAGTACTGGTAACTATTAAACTAAATGTTCCTAATTGGATTTTTCGCTAGTGTAACTANAATTAACAAGAAGAATGTTTATACAAGATGGATAGTCTTTTTAAGTATGGGTGTCAAGAGTTGCCTGCCTTGGTTCATGCTATGAATACATTGGCATTATACTGTAATACTGAATAGAACCTATTCAAGGGCTTAGGCTGAAGAAAGGAAGAGAGTAGGAAGTAAGGAAAGGGGATAAGAAAGAGGAGAGACGGTCACAATAGGATACTGAGCAGATAGGGATACGATGGATGTAGTATCACTCTAGGGTTCTGGGAGATTCTGGAGCTAATTCGAATTTTTCATGGGTAGTTTGTCGCAGATTTGTCGAACTCATCTCTTTTCAGAAGCATTAGATAATATTAAATGCAATATTTTAATCAATTTATTTATTACTGTATTATTGTTATTATTATTATTAAATTTAACATACTGTATATCCATGTTAAATTAAAATTTATATTTTATTGGAAAAATTCTCTAAAGAATTTTCGAATAAAATGTTATTTGCTCTATTATGTTTATTCGGGTGAATTTAGTTAATTAATATAATTTATTTAAAAAATTATTATTATTATAAATTGGAAAATTTTTCCTAATAATTAGAAAGATGGAAAAATTATATTATTATGTTGAACATTTAAATTATTAGAGGAGAAGATGGTATTATGGAACCCCATTTTCATTATAGTGAATTGTAAACAAGATATCATAAGTACACCCACATTTTTTGTGCGAAAAGTACTGGTAACTATTAAACTAAATGTTCCTAATTGGATTTTTTGCTAGTGTAACTAACTATAAGTATGGTTTTTAAAGGCTTCTGTACAAAAAGTCCGAAAGTAGGTTTAGGGAAAACCGGATGGTAATATGAAATCTTAATGTATGTTTTCAAAAAATGCTTTAATGTATCCAAAAACAAATAGAAAAGTACAAAGAATGTTAAATAATTACAAAATTATTTACTCCAATGTATTTTATCGCAAAAACGATTTAATAATAATAATAAAGAAATGTACAAAGAAGAATCTATTCATTTACAAAAATCACAAATATAATGCTCCTATAATGTTAGGTATTTACTTTTACTTTTTTCATTTTTCTTCTATTTTTTCATTCATCTATCACATACTTTTACAAAAGTTAGACGGGTTCCATATTAAAAGCACCAATGGGATCCGTATTTTACTCATCGCCATCTTGAATTAACTTATGTCTGTCAAGACCAAATTTTAAAAAACGTGAATACCACGCAGATTAATATGTACCCCTAAGTCTCTAAAACGATACATGCACCACTGAACCTACAACTACACGATTTATATTTTAGAAATAATTAAATTCACTTAGCATTAAAAACTTTCGAATTTCGAAAAACACAAATATGCTAATTCACTATGGACAACCGTTTAACTGAAGTGACACGGGTTTTCCCCTTGCTATGGATGTCTGCCTAGTGCAGTTCAGCCACAATCCGCTACAGTTCACCTTTATTATCAGTTTGAAATGAAGGGGTTCCATAATACCACTTTCTCCCTATACTTTCTAGGCTCTGTTATATAACTCCTATGCTTTTTACCAAAATTTTAGAAATTTTGCACGGAGGTTTATGTATTAGGAGAATTGATTTTATTAATTTTGGTGGTTAAAAGTCGATGGGATGGGGAGATAAAGAAATGCCGCATGTTATATCTCTAGTGGGGTCGGACTTAATGACGATTTTACTCGTATTAGCACTTACATAACCCTCAAAATTAAGCTTTTTGCCATTTTATAATAGCTAAAAATATATAATTATTTTTTAAGTAAAATTTCATAACAGGCGGCACACACGCAATTTTAAACGTCGCCGGGAAAGTTAAGCAACTCGTTGCCGAAATTTTTTTTTTATTTGATTTAATCTTAATAAAATATCTTGAATAGCCAAGTTAATTTACAGTTCGGCTCAAAAATTAGTTAACCGAGATGTATTTTTTAGGATAAAAAAAATCACGAATAATAATATAGTGATGTTTTAACACCGACTTTATCTCATTTTACCAAGTTTGTGAGAACGGATTCTTAAGGTATTTTGTAGCAAATAACAATCTATTACCATACTATCGGACAAGAAATGTCAAAACAAATTATTATTTTATTGAATTTAAATTGTCATGTTCACAGTAACCGTAATCAGCACGAAAATAACAACTCTAAAACAACTGGAGAATTGTTTTGTTGCGTTGTGCCGTTACGTATCTGATAATATGAATATTCCATAATTTGTCGTGTCTCTGCCAAATTGTGTCGTATAATTTTCTTATATGATAGTGTGAATCCGGCTTAAAGCTCGCCTTATTCGCATCACAAATAGATAAAGCTGATATTATTCAAAAAAACGGATGGATGAAACAAGAACAAAGCTTTAAATTCGGGCTTGATCCTTCCATTTTGAGTAAAGCGAAGAGAAAATACAGGGTCTTACTTTAAATAGATAATCTGCTGTCTTTTCAATGCTAGTCGGATGGATAAAAAAATAATTTCGTTTTTTAAATCGACTACAATTTATTATTCCTCCATTTCAGAAAAATTGCCAGTTATTTCACGTACATTTTGCATGTTTTGTGGCACTTAAACTGAAATAAAAGATAGCGTTGCAGTGTTTTTTATGTGATCATGTCTGTATCAAAGGATTTTTTAACACACTTTTTTTTATTGTGTTTGTCTTCAATTGTATTTATTAATATAATTTTATAATCCTGGAATTTACTAGTGTCTTTTTTAGAAGTTTATCACAGACACGAAAAATCGTCGCCATATCGGGAATTGGCTCGAAATGCGGCGATAAATTGCCAGATCTGGCAACATTTTCCAGTTCCAGCTATCCACGTGATAGCTAATAAACAAAATGTTCATGCCCATAAAGATGCATGCAACATCTATACTTAAACTCTATCTAAGCAACAGTGGACTGCATAATTCGAAAAAAGCCGAAATTTTATCTCTTATTATTGCTTCATCCATCCATTTTTTAGATAATGTCAGCCTTATCCGCTTTTAACTTGAATAAATCTCGCATATAAATAAAGGTCAAAATTAAAAGATTGTTATTTATTACATTATTTATACATACAGTAGAGCGTCGATTATCCGAATCAATTGGGGACTGGGGTTGTTCGGAAATTCGATGTTTCGGATAACCGATTATGCACGAAAAAATATATTAATTTATCCCATGTTGAAATTTTCCTCCGTTGCGTGTCGCTTTGCGTTGAATTTTCATCGATGTTAAGCCTAACAAAGACTATTGTATCGTTAAAAATTATTTTTTATTTAGTACGAACAAAATAAATGTATTGAAAAATATAAAAACAAAAAATTATACTTCAGAAGTTAATTTAGTATCAAAAACGTAAAATATTTGAGTAGCCCAAGACATAGCCAAAGATTGCAGCGCCACAGCACTGGCGAAAATTTAAATTTGCCGACTGGAATTCTTTCGGATGCTTGACTTTCGGATAATCGACGCTCTACTGTATTTTAAATTATCTTTAAATTACAAATTATTCTTTAACAATAATCAAAGACGTCAATATTACATATGTTTAAAGTTTTCCAAACTTATATTAATGATTAAAAACACTTATAAATAAAATTTTAGAATTTTAAAAATTATTTATAATATGATTTTATTTTGTTATAGAAAAATGCCGAAACATCGACAAAATTCTGAAAGAAATCGAAAGAATAAATCTCATCGCCATCGAAATAATTATACTAGCATACACATACATCGAACAAATGTATACAAACATCGACGAAATATAAATAAATATAGAAGAAATCCACAGTATAATAATAATGCAAAACCTTCTCAAATTCCACGTCATCGAACAGTATCCTATTCCACCAAAACTTTAATTTCTTCTGGATCATTCTTTTTGATTGGTGGAGCTATAGCTATGATATTAAGCAAACATGCGGATATATTTTCTAATGACAACGAAAAAGATTCTAAAGATGGCATTAATAATAATGATAATAATAATAATAATAAAGAAAATAAAAATTCTGATAATAAAGATTTACGTGAAATCATTTATACGGGTGGTTTGGTTTCAGTTTGTGTCGGTGGCACATTACTTGCTTCTGGTATAGCGTTACAATATTTCGCAATATTTTACTTGAGAAAACGAGAAAATGAACGTCAAGATTTATTATCTTCTTCATCAATAATTGACGAAACAGTTCAACCGGATAGTATCAATCCTTATCAATCTGGATGTCATTTTCAACAGCCTCCAGTACCTCCTCCTCCTCCTCCTCCTCCTCCTCCACCGCCTCCAGCACCACCACCAATGTCACCACCAGATTTCTATTCGCCACATTTTATGTCAATTTATGATTCTCATCGACAGCCACCTGCAACAATCTCCTATCCTCAATATTCTCAAACTTGCGGATATCAGCCTTTTGTTCAACCAACTGCTCCGTCTGAAGAACACGTAAATAATGAATCCACACGATCTCAACATAATCCATCAACAAATTATACTGGATCGCAAAGGATCAAGTATTGCACCAATCGATTTTGAAGAAATATAATTAAAAATCACAATAAATCTTGAATGTTATTCTTTACGTAATTTCCATATAGCTTTACTCTAAATATTGTTATTGAGATTAATAAAAATGTTGATTATAGAAGAAAGGTTTATTAATTCTACGTAAGAATTAAAAATACCACGCATGTTTTATATTAAAAATCTTTAGATACTTTATAAATAATTCTTTACTTATACTTTTCTGTCAAATATCAAATACAGGTTGAGAGAAAATAAATCCTAAAATTTTTGTTATTAATTATAACAAGATCGTTCAATAATCCCGAGAAAAAGGAGTGAAATGAGAAGATAAGTCAACGCAAAAAATTATTAAGTTTTATATTATTTTATATTGATTATATATTAATTAATTAATAATTTATATATATATATCGAGCTTCTTTTAACCGACACTAGATGGCAACACGTATCATAACATATCTTCCATTATAGAATTATTTTACTACAGAATTAAATATTTTATTAATAATTTTATATTAAAATATGACAGTATATTAATATAAATATATTCATTTAATTTAAAAAAAA